CGCGGATGGATTCGATTTCTTGTGTTTTTCCCCCAGTTAGCAATGAATTATTTACTTTCGGGGAGACCAAGTGGCAGGAGCCCAGGCTACCTGCAGAATTTCTGGAGAGCACGTGAGCCACAAATGACCCTCTCTGGCATGAAGTGGATAAATGTACGGTGAAAGTGGTTAATTGGGGGTGTTTCTGATATGAAATGGTTGAAACCGGTCGTTGATGCGGTGAAATGATTTTCAACGTTTTCTCCAAGATAATTAAAGAGCCTATTTCAGGGAAAGATCTTGGCGTTTCCCGAACTGTAAAATGAAATTTGCCGTGAATGTGATTAATATCGATTCAACAATACTTGAATTACTGTTAATACTGTAAAATGAAATTTGCTGTATTAGCAATAAATTTTTGCATGTGCGAAGATTCTTTGGAAAACAAGTCAAGACCTTTATAGACATAACGAAGTATGAACTTTAAAGGGCAAAGAAGTCGATAATTATTTATACATGGACATACATTGTTCTAAATGTTACATAACACAGCCCTTGGAATAAAGTGCGTCAATAATTAAGTTTTCACGTAATTTGCAAGCACATATGAGAATACAGATAGATGTCGTTTATAATTAAAAAAAAAACGATCAAAGTGTATATAGAAAGAATGAAATAATACCATCTTTTGAGGTGAGATACAGCACTATTGTATACGTGCGGTTACAGGCTCCTAACAAAGAGAATAGACGATCTATACTGATAGAAGTAACTTGACTGGCACTTCCTTGTCGATACCTAGAATACGTATCGATTGTATTTTCATAATTTCGAACAATTACGATGTACGATTACAGTCACTGGAAGTATTACTATAAAGATATAACAATATAAAAAAAAAAGAAGATTATTATGACAATTTTGAAGAAAGCAAACGATAACAAAATTCTTTGATATTAATTAATGTAAAATAATTGTAGTATTGTAATTGTAAAAAACTACGTTATTTTATATAACGAATAATGTGAGAAGAAAACGGAACTTTTCTTCTCTAAGGTGCTTTAATGTAAAATTTTTAAAGAGGCAGAAGGAGTGAGGAAAATTTAATCACGGCATAAATTCGAAACACCTACATCCACAGAATATTTATGCCTCGTCAAAACTTGCGTATAAAAAAAGGCACCCTTTTAAAGCCTCTCATTAGTTGTTTACGTCTGTGAGCAACCGTGAACTAGTTGGTACGTTTTCAACGTGTAAACTATTCCTAGAAAACATTTTCAGGTTAGCTTGATGCATGTTACTGCTATAATTTGAAACATGAACGGGTTATTTTCGTTTCCACGGTATTTAGACTAATTCACTATTTGTGCTGGATTTTATCACCAGGGAAACATTTTCTTTTACCTACAAAGCTATTCTATTGAAGGATTTATGAGTAAATTAATCCAACTTTTTCTCTACAAGCTGATCAGTTTTATTTAAATTACTACGAAATTCGTTGCGAAATTCATGAAACGGATAAATGAAATTAGATTCATTTCACAATACTGTAAATACTGCAAAAAGTGTAAACTTTTTAAACTTACTATTTGGCAAACTTGAAAATTAATTAAAGACGACTATTTGTCAACCAAACTCTCCAAAGCTGTTTCTTTCCATCCATCTCGAACACTGATCGAAACAGTCCAGTCGAAAAGAGACACCCTGTACATACACCTTCGGAACGTTTCACCGCTTGAATTACAAACGAAACGTCCTAAAACGTACTCAGAATTTTTGCAAGCGGAGAATATCTCGGTGCAATTCACGGCAAAGATATTAAAAAAAAAAAAAAGAGAGAGAACCATAGAAGAAACGCAAAAAGAACGTAAACGTTCGGGACGTAAAAAGTTTGTGCTACTTTCAACGTCTTGACGCGATGCTAAAAGTGTATTAAAAGTTCGGTAATCGATAATGACTCGAGTTTTTTTGTCGACGTCTTTTTCTGCATGTCACGTTCGTTCCCCGTCGACGGGGATCTATTTTTCAGAGGCGAAAGACGGCGAGAACACGATGGACACGCTATGATTTCAACCGGCAACAAATCAACTCGCATTAAACACAATTACCCGCGACAGATGACGTAGGGTACAGAGTTAGTTGCTACTCGTTATCCGGCAAATTGATCAAACTGCCTTTACTTAAGTGTATCTGTCCATCACCGGCCTTTACGAGGTCGTATCAGTTCTGATAAGTTGCACCTGTTATTATAATAATAAAATAAAAGTGGGGAATACTGTCACCGTTGTCCCCTCGAATCTGGGCATTTTTTTTCGGTTTCGTTCGAATCAAAAATTCCAATCGAATCTAAGTTGTACGCAATGTGCAACAAATTAGGTGTGCACGTTGATGATTTGTATATTACTTTGGAAAATGAATCATTTCTCGTTAGTTTTGTTCTAATAAATAATTAAATTCAACGTGAAACTATTTATAGTGGATAATACTATGTGAATCTTTATGTTGTAGATTTAATCATAAAATTATGAACTTTCAAAATTCTCAGCTTATATGATGTATAATTTTTTTATGAATTTTTTTACGATATATAATTGTCTGGTTAATCCTTTTTTCAGTTTCGCTGAGAATCTTGAATTTTCATAATTTCATTCAATATTCATGAATTAAACTTGTAATATTATGTGTTAATAGAATTATAATTGTAGAGGATGTAATCATGAAATATTTCATACGGTTAATTGGGAAGTAGTTAGAATCTAAAAGCATTATTCTCAAGCATCACAAACTCTAAATGTTCATTAACTGTAACAACCTGACTTCCATTAAGTGAAACATGTCCCGAGTTTTGAACTCTTCATATGCTACCTACTGTATCGATAGAAATTCCCAAAAACCGCGAAATATAAAACTCTGTATTAAATATGTCCCAAGTTTGTCACAGAATTGAAAAAAAAAAAAATTATTCAAACTGCATTACAGATTTGAAATCCGACATACTCCACCTGAATAATCATACATTAGCCTCTATTTGATCTTTTTAAATCAAACCTATAAAATTCTATAACACCCACGTGCATTTTCTAATTCAACAATTCGATTGTGTTGGAGAAAAAAAAAATCCGTAAAATATCGTACAATATGTAACAAAGAAGCGGCGTCTCAATTAGTGCTACCAATAGCACGCGGCGAACAATCAAAACTAAAAAGCCCGGCGGCCGGTGTGCCGCGCGTGGATTTTGAAATACGAGAAAACTCGCGACCTCGGCCCTTCCAGCGTTTAATACAGTCCTCGTGAAAATACTATCGCACCGGTGTCGGGGTAACTCTTTGTTTGGAGGGTGCGAACGCGGGCCAGAAAACTCGTGACACGGGCAGCTGTTCGAATTACATTGGGCTCGCCCCTGGCGCGTGGACGGTTTATTGACACACTCTCCAGGCGACCGCGTATTATTACCAGCGTCGTGCACTCGCCACGAAACGTATGGCCGGTATTTTTTTCTTTTTCGAGAAAAAGAACGACCGTCCGAGCATCGAGATGAATCCTCGGGTCCATACGCCGGTAGAGAGAGAGAAAATCAACAGTGCTTCGTCGTCCGTGGCCTTCTCTCCGTTCTTTGTGCGATCCTTGTTTCATAGGAGACAACATTGATTCTTTAGACGCACAATTTTCGTAAGCGTAGGACCGATGATTCATCGCACACGGCAAAATTTTCGACCAGCGTATCAGATAGAATTTCTCCTTCGTTTGAATGCTTTGATTTTTAAAGTGTGAAAGAACGCATTAGCGGATAACGATTTGAACGATGTATCGAACGAAAGATGAGGTTACGAACACTGATTTACCGTACAATTATCGTTCGTTTATGACTGATACTCACTGAGAGCATGATGTTTGTCGAAAGATACGTTACGCGTCTTTGAGAAGGATGCTTGTTACAGTTGTTAAGTATTAAGTATGTGTCGGTAGGAATGTCACGATGTAAAAGGAATAAAGAGAAGAGAAAGAGACACGATAGAAGACGCGTGCTTGCATGCTTCGGGACACACGCATATGCTTTTGACGTTTCGCGTCCGGTAGCGTCTGTGAAGGATCACTCTACTAACGTTTCGATTATCGCGGCATTCGCAATAGTGGCGTTCGATGATGTTAAGCTATGTGAAATCCTTGCGGTACGTTCGTTTATTATGAACGAATAAAAACTCGACTGACAGGGGGAAAAAAACAATAACGGCCGCAGCGGCCGGGTTCCGTCGTTGTTACAGAACATCGTACGTTCTCTTTCATCGTAGGTCATAGGAGAAATACCACTCACCTGCATGCTTCTCCGACTTCGGCGTGGAGGCCATCGCTAGCCGGTAGTATGTCCTCTCGATCCACGACACTATCTCACCATTTCCACGAATGACCGCATCGTAAACTACACACCAGTGGCTGCCGCGGCGTTTTCAGTCTGATGTAAACCCGACGTGCACCGCTACATCTTCGTTTGTCAGCCATCTTTCGGGGCGCGAGCGCGCGAACCGCCATCGCGCGGCCGAGATTTGAACACCTAAACCACCAGGCCAATATGGCTGACGGACTGTCATTCGTGTGACATTTCATTCATTTTTTGTGCACAAAACGATGATCTCGAACGATTGACTTTCACGGATGGAACGTATTCCACGGCCACGTTTGTACAAGAGTGTAAACCGCGATACTGGTTATTCGATTACATCGATCGCCGACACGAGTATCGCTGTGTGAAAATAAATCAGAGGAGTAGCAGCGCAACGGCTGATTCTGCTACGCCGATACAGTGGCATACAAAAATTGACGTCCGGCGATGATCGAGTACAATCCGTAGCAAAAAATAGTTCAATGGCTTTACGGTACACAGTCAGAGAAGGAGTGAGTACCGAACAGCGACTGCGAATGTATAGCAAAAGACGCAGTTAAAAATTAAATGACTATCATTGAAAAATAAGTGTCAACAAAGAGGAATATTTCTTTTGTTTACGTCTTTTGAAAATTAATCGTTGGTGAAGATTTGTTTTAAAACTAATATTATTTGAAATGGGGAACTCTGGTGTGAAACAACATTATGATACTGCGAAAAAGACAGGAACGTTACGATTGTCGCAGAGAAAACTGGACGAATTTCCACAAAATATACGAGCTTTGGCGCCGATGTTACGCACGTTGGATCTATCCGAAAACAAATTCAGTCATATACCTGATGAAATCAGCAATTTGACGTTGTTGAAGCAACTGAATCTTAGTCGTAATAAACTGACAACTTTGCCCGAAGCTCTTGGAGCATTAACAAAGTTAGAAGGTTTAAACGCAAGCTCAAACCAAATAACAAGTCTCCCGTGGTCTTTATCGAAACTAACACACTTGAAACAGGTCAATCTGTCCGACAATCGGATAACCGATTTCCCCCCTATGTTTTGTGATTTAAAATTTCTGGACGTGTTAGACTTATCGAAGAATCGTATCACGACAATTCCTGACGCGGCTGGAGCGTTGTATATGGTGGAACTTAACCTTAATCAAAATCAGATATCGACTATCTCTGAAAAATTGGCAGAATGTTCGCGCCTTAAAACTTTAAGGCTCGAAGAAAATTGTTTGCAACTGAACGCAATACCTGGTAAGATTTTGAAGGACTCGCAGATTTCTGTTTTATCTGTCGAGGGAAATTTATTTGAAATGAAACAATTTGCCAATCTCGATGGTTATGACGACTACATGGAAAGGTATACTGCAGTAAAGAAAAAATTGTTTTAAGAGGTATTATTGCATAGAATATTTACGATGGAAATTGTTATAGATGATAATTATTATATAATTGTTTTATAACATTAAAGAAATGCCGCATCGTGTTCGCGCAATTATATCATACTCGATACCTGCGATAATGTAATTGTAAAAATATAATCTTAGTTAACCGTAAGATATCGGTGGTTTTAATAAATTTGTGAATGTTTATATAGAATTTCATACTGTGTACAAAGTGTTTATTAAGAATGCATTTGGTAAATGATATCAAGGTTATATAAATTATTGGTCTAGTGTAACATTCGATACTGTACTATATAGGTTTTACTCCGCGGATTGCAAAACGGTGCCTTTGTATTCTGTGTAACAATACAATTCTTGCAACACATGTTTTTGCACACCATCTGCTCACCATTGTTACAACGTACAAACGAGATGTATTATACAATAAACTATGTTTTGTGATCAATTTCTTACATCTGTCATCTAGTGTTTAATTATAAGTTTTAAATCAAGGCAGCTTATAATTTTCCGAATCCAAAATATTCTTTGTGTCGATACATTGTACTATATGTTATAAAATAAAATTTATATGTATAATTGGAAACATACGTTCGTCATTTTTTAAACTATTACAACCATTTATTATAATTGTGCAATATTTTGCTTTGCTGTACATGTAATGTAAACCAAATTTATGTCTTTAACTTATAACTTTATTTATTGCTTTACAGTTTATTTTTGTATTTGTGATATTTATAGATACAAATATGCAATTATAATTTTTTCATTGTGAACGAAAAACAAATGATCTTTTGCATCCCAAAATGGCGTGTCTGGTCTTTGCTTTCTCAACAGGAAGAGCTCCTAAAATTAAATAAAAAAAAATATCGACAGGTGAGTTACGGGCAGTAAAAACAAGTTACATGCTTCAACTTCCAAGTTAGCAACCCTTCACTTGCGAATACGTGAGTAGCTTAAGTATTACTTCGTTAGACATGAGATTTATATTCCACTCTTTTGCCGACTGGACAATTACAGCTAATTTTAGAGCTTTCAATTCCGATCATCGGTTAATATGTGAATAACCAATGACCAAAAATTTTCTCGCTTTCGTATGCTTCTATTTAGCATAGCTGTTTAGTATTACATTGTTAAAAAACATTGTTCATATGTGAACATTGTACGAGATCGTTCAAAGAATTTGCATTTTGCTTGCAAATTAATCATGAAAAGTAGTTTCAATTGCTATTTTGTAAAATTCAATATAATTAGATATAACATATGAAAATATTATCTTTTAAATAATTAATCGTACCTATTAATGATAATATTTCTTTCATTATACTTTAAAGTTTGTTTTAGACTATTTAAAGTGTAGCAAAACTTATGCAGGCCTAGGGTACAGACGACGAGAATCTTGTGTATGGAAGATATACTACTCTAATTGTTGAAAGACTTAAAACTTTTAAATGTATAACCAATTTTAAAATTCATTACATTTTAAACATTTACGGGGGTCATTTATAATTATCATGGCATAATAGAATCTTTAAGAACACTGTCATCGATTGTTTATATTATACCTGCACCACAATAGGACGTCCAACTAACGACCATGATCGTACAGTGAAATTTAAATCCCCCGCACCATGCTACTCCGAACAGTTTACACATGCACAAAACAGAATAAATAAAACATAATTTACAAGATATACAAAGTATACGTACATTTATTTTTATACATTGCTCATTAAAATACTTCTTTCTAATTAAAAATTAAATTAAATTGACGATATTATTTTATAAAAACTTTTGCAGTTACGTGAAGTATCATGTGTGAAAGAACGTAAGAGGTTATAATACTTGTAAAATACAATTACGGAAACAAGACTTGTAATATTAACGATTTGTTTTTAATTATTTCATAAATTTTGACAGCGATGTTATTCTTTCTAACCAGAACTGTGCATGCAACGCAAGAAATGGGCGTCCCTGTTTCGTTAGACATCCCTACGGGGATCACTGCCACTACGGTAGGTTAGTTGATCAACGTAGTTTCTAGCAAGTGTTTCCCCGAACATGGCGGACGGTGCTTATTCGAATTTTCAAGGGACACAATGAAAGTGCACCGAGTTCGCGGCGGTGATGTCCGTGACTAAGGGCGTGTGGTGATCCTGAGGGTGGCCGACGTGGATACCCGGACGCCGCCGTGATCGTTACGGTTGCATGCGTGCCGGTGTGTCGCCGTCCTGACTTCACGAGATAGGGTTTTGCCGCGCCGCGATTGTGTGTCTCAGAGCGACCGACCGTGGCGGGGCCCCCATGGTTGTAAATGGCTGACGGGAATCGGAAAATGAGGCCCGAACGTCGCGCGTGATTCCACGGCTAAGACGCTGAGGTACGACATACAAAAGGTGTTCGAAGATCGAACGATATTCGCGCGGTCTTCTGTTCTAAAAACACCACCACCGGGTCCAAGCACCGCCCGGTGCTAGGAGCTGTCCCGGGGGTTGCTCGTGTCTACCGTATCGCCAGTGTCTTCGTCAATTGATCGGTTTCAGGTCTCATGTATCCTCTTGATCAGCAGAAAGCTTTATTTCAGTCGATAATTGTCATTGGCGGTAAAAGAGTTCTCGAAAGTGTAACCGCTCGTGCGCGACGTTTCGTCTTGTTTAGAACAGCATTTGTAGGTGCTCTCGTTCGTTAACGAGAGCGAGAGCGCGCGGACTGGTTTTTAATGAGATGCCGATCATATGGTCGTTATTTTTTTCGCAGGTATTCGCGATACTTTTTCGATTCTCGTAACGTACTTATCGTCGCTTGTAATGGACACGTACATAAATGAATGATTTGGCGGACGACCATCTATTTTGCACATTTGCGTGGACCAAGCATTATGTGTACGTGCATGTAAGACTTGCTTTCCTTTCGGATTTGAACAAACATTTTAAGAGAAGATTATGTATTAACATGAGATTTCAGCCGAAATGTTAACCCTTTTTCTTAATATAATCATCACTCCTCAAAACATGTGTAATCTTACTTTTTTAGGATTTAGTTCATTTCATAAAAAACTAATTGTGACTGTGCATCTTATAATAATAACATTTGATAATAATCTACAACAAATATATATGATAGTTATAACTATTATTGTAGAAAAGTTTTTTGTTGATGTTAGTAATGACTATTAAGTCATATTAAACTTATAATAACTATGCAATAATCTGTAATGATCTGTGCTTACGCAAAAGCAAATTTCTATTAGATAACTTAAAAGTTAAACAATGTTAGACAGAACATTTCTAAAAATAGTGCCTCCAAAATGTCTTTAATAAAACCATCTTTGTAATACCTTAACCCAGTCAAATAACACTTTTCTAATTATATTAGTTAAGTCTGGTTTAGACATAAGTGCTGCACATGTTTAAATGTCTTTGCTATTGCTTTATGTGATTACAGAAACAGGGTAGAAAATGTCAGAGCCAGAAGAAAGTCTGGCAGCGCCGGATAGCACTACGAGGGAACAAAAGTTAGGCTTCTCTCATGGAGATGATGTTCTTCTTCAACACAAGGATGGAAAATATTATCTTGGAACAGTTGTTGAGGTATATTTGAATAATGTTCTGTAGGAGTATTTAACAGTTTAAATCACTCATTAAAATATAATTTTTGTTATGATTATATTATATCTTAAAACGAAATTGTATTATAATTAGATTATATTTTAGTACTAATCCAAATATAGACATTTCTTTTTATTGTACATATCCTATGCATAGGTGGATTTGGCAAGGGAAAAATGCCTTGTCAAATTTATGGACAACACCTCCGCATGGTCCTCAGTTAAGGAGCTGACAAAGCTTTCTATGCCAGACTCAGATGTTATGTGCGTTCTTTGTAAAAAATCTCAGCCCAAGACTGATAATGACATTATTGTTTGTGACAAATGTGGCCGTGGTTATCATCAACTTTGTCATCAGGTAATAATAATTTATACTTAAATGTTAAACTATGCCTTTATATTTATTCCTTATATTATGTGAATATTATTCTAATTTGAAAAGTAAGTAAAATAAGAATTAACACTTACAGCCTCAAATATCAAAAGAAGAAACTGCAATTGAGGCACATTGGATGTGTAAAAGATGTGTAGATAGTCAACCACGGACACGTGAAATTGTAGAACCAAAAACTTCTATGGTAAAGGCAAGTATCAGAAAAGTATGCAGTGGTAGGGACCAACCTCAGCCGCCACCAGATGATATGACAAAGTTGCCGTACGATGTAAGTATCTAAAATTAATTTTTTTATATTATTTTGAATTAATTAATCAATCAGTTAATTAAAAATATTAGTTTCTTAATTATATTTTGAAATACATCATTTTATTTAGACATGTATTAAAAAACTGATACAATCAATAGTTGATGTTTGTTGCAGCCTGATATGTTGAATTGGGATGCACATCATAGAGTAAATGCTGAACAAATTTATTGTTATTGTGGACTGAATGGTGAATGGTATACACAAATGTTGCAATGTGCTCGTTGCAAACAGTGGTTTCATGAAAAATGTGTCAGTTGCCTAACTTATCCTTTATACAGTGGAGATAGGTGAGAAAATGTCATTAAATTTTAAGGCAGAAATTTTAATGCTGTGCATACACAGTTTACTAAGTTTTAAAATGTATTTAATACTATGTACATATTTACTGTTGTTTCTATTTACAGGTTTTATGTATTTGTTTGTTCAATGTGCAATTATGGCAAAGAATTCGTACGGCGACTGGAATTGAAATGGGTAGATCTGGTGCACCTGATGTTGTACAATTTGACTGTTTACAATGCTAAAAAGTATTATGATTTGGACACTGTTATTGTACCTTATGCCAATGATAACTGGAATACTTTACAGCTTCCACCGCGGGTAAGGGTCTTTAACGAATTTTTCAAATACGAAATTGAAGATACTTTCATTTTTTTAAAAGATGTGCAGACTTTTTACAAATATGCATATGTATTTGTTATTGTTAGATCAGGGATGTCAGTGCTCAAATACGCAGAGAATCTATACTAGCAATATTGACAAATAATAGAAACAGGTTCAAGTGTGGCAGAGAAATAAAGAAACGTACTACAATATGGGGCCTTAGAGTTAGGTTACCACCACCATGCCCAATTGTTAATCTTCCAGCAACTGGTATAATAGATGATTCTGTGTTACGTAGATGCTGGGGTGCTAATAAAAGACTGCAATATCTTCCTCCACCTACAGGGTTAGTTACTACACATATTATGATTTAATACATATGTTTCAATTATTAGTTCAGTGGCTCTAAAAAGTATGTTTTTTTAGACCGATATCTTTACCAGAAAGTACAAAACAGTTAACTGCATTAAAACAAAGCACAGCAGAGAATTTAGAAATTCCTGTGAACCCATCAGATGTAGTAATGCGAGGAACAATTTATCAAAATTCTGAAGCAGAACAAAGTTCTTGTCCCAGTCCAAGTCCACCAAGCCAATCTACACAATCTTTGAGAGAGAGGTAAGTAAATCTACGACGCATGTACAACTAATATAACGTAATGCAGTTTCTGTCATGAAACGCTTCATGTTGTTTTCAATTTATTTTGTAGGTATAGTGGAGGTGGTTTTGTAAAGAAATCATTCCCATTCCCTAAACTCAGTTTACAAAGAAGAAGACGCTTAATGGCGTTAGGTAGTTCTCGTGAGAGAATGTTACGTAAACACAAGAAGAGAGAAAAAGGCGATGGTGCTTTAAGTAAGGCTCAGGGTGTTCGAGAAGCTAGATATAGGAAAGCAAGAAAATTATTGAAAAATGCTATAGCAAAGGTATTTCGTGATAAAGAGACTTTCACTTATAATAACATGCCCATACAAGAAAAGTACAAACCAATTGTTCGTCATATGTTACAGAGTAAATCTCGAAACTCTGAAACGTCTGATTTACCACCAACGCCTCCAACTTCAGTTTCTGGTCCACCTACACCACCAGCTACAACTTCGGGTATATCTGAACTATCTGTGCCTAGTTCTGTGGAATTGATGCATCCTTTACCACCATCGACTCCTGCGGATACAAGTGGGGATGAAACAAGTTCCAGAGGAACATTGGACTCCTTTATTCCACCACCCAAAGACTTTGAAGGCAAGAATAATCCTTTTAGAAATCTGAGCGATTTATTGGGTACACCCGGCAATCTCAATCAAACAAATTCAAGTACCCCGTCACCGTACAATCAATGTCCAATCACATTACCTCTACCGCTTACTCCTGTTATATCTCAACCGCCGGTAGTGCGGCCAGCCAAAAGACAATTATCGGAAAAAGACATTATTATAGACAGAAACGGGCAAGTAAAACGTAGACGTCAACATCGGAGAGGTCGTCCATCGCAACAACAAATGCAACAACAGTATCAACATACCGCCAGTAAGACGGCGACCATCTTACCTGCGCGTAATAACGAAGTTAAAAGTGAGTTCGCAAGGAATTTAAGAAGTTCGTTTAACGGTGCCTCAAGCAGTGCTAGTAGTCAAATTGGAAATTGTGTTGATTATGCCTTAAACGGGAGGAGACTGAGACAACGTCAGAGCAATGATAAATTACCGCCCCCGGATCCGCAACCGCAAAAAAAAGGTAGTGTACCTTCATCCCCAAAGTGTTCACCTGTTAAACAAAGTGCGCCCGACATATCCTTGGATGATTTGAAGTCATCGGTGAACATATATTTTGGAGCAGCTAATAGAATCGCTGCTGGTGAGAAGTTTGTCATCAGAGCAAAGAGGATAGGACCAAATGGTCAGACTCAATACCTAATCGAGTGGGAGGGACTTAATACTTAACAATAGATGATCTGTTTATGATTATAAATGCATTGCAATCGTATACAATTTCTGTTGACATCGAGCAGGATCAGCAATCAGTTGCTGTTCGATCTTTTTTAAATCTCGATGTGTAAAACAAATGATTGATTAGTGACAAATCGATCTACGTCACATGCACTGCCATTCGTTACATATGTTTATGTAATAAGTATGTATTAATTGGTGTACGATGTGTGACTGTTCTTGCAAATGTAACGTTTATTTCATGAGTTCAACAAAGTAAGAGTCTTGTGAAGACACCGTTTCGAATAACAACAAACTTCATTGCTGGACAATGAATTTGTTTTGCCACTTATTTGAGGTAAAAACATCGATTCACTGGTTTGTTTCGTCCCGCATTCTAGAAAATGCGAAGATTTTTCTTCTTTCTTTTTTCCTTTCATTCGATTCAGATTTACATTTAAAATGTACCGTCCATGATTACCTTCGACGTATAAAGTTCAATCAACGTTTCTATATCTATTTTAATACAAAGGCAAATAAAAAGGAATGCATCTGTGAAGGAAACATTTACAAGAACAATCAGATACATTGCTTTATAAATTGTACATATTGTAGCATAGTAGTTTCGCAGAAAAATCGATGAACGTAAAGTGAATGTAAAGCAAGGGGAATCATTTACGCCGGGTTTTACATTCATTAGAGATTGGCCAATCGCTCCTTTTTATGAATTGCGGAGCAGACCATGATCATGACGAGAAAAAAAAAGTGTGAATTGAAGCTGACAGTTGTTCCTCTCACTTGAGCTAACATACTAGCGAACATACTAGTGGTTAGTTTTTAACGAGTAAAGAAAAGATGAAGTAAAGAAAAAGAAGCAGATATCCTGCAAAGGTTATTTTTCAATACAATTGTAGAGATAGACATCCGCTTCTGTAACTTCATCTTCTTGAACTGTTGCCGCATCCTTCATCCAAATGACAATATAAGCAAAATCAAAATCGTTCGTTAAACATGCTGTCGCGTCTTCACTTTGTCTTACATCGCCACATTTTAAAACTAGATTTGCAATATTCGATAATTATAGTTGCTAATTATGCAATCATTTGTTATACGAATCTTAGAGAAGAATTTCTATTCACATCATGAACGGTTCAAGATGATGAAGATACGGTTCTAGCATTGCTCATTATTATACAAGACTAAGGGAAAAGGACATACCTATTTCGTAATAACGTACAATTTAAAGAATCGCAGAGCTGAGTATGTAAGTGATTGGCCAAAGTTATCTGTGCGAATGGTAACGTTGTAAATTTCTCTGTGCGGTTTTTCGAGCGGGAGACATTTCGAACTCGAGACGTAGCAAATCTTTATAAACTATTCTTGTTATATTAAAAAAAAAAGAAAGCCAGGAAAAAAATGTAGGATATGGAAAGTATTCGTTCGCACGTAATAGATTATTCTCGTAGACGAGATTTTTGCGAAATTTCCGAAATTTAAGTTTCATAGCTCGAATTTGAAGCAAACACTCCTACGACCTGAATGAACGAAATTATCAATGTGTATTCCTGCAAAATTGTATCAGATAGCTCTATTTTAATTTACATTTCAATCAGTGCAGCACAGAACCTATGGTCAGAACTTACTAATCAGTGGACAACCGAAAGAAAATTAAGTGTTGGACTAATTCTTCATTAAGGTCTCGAATCAAAAGAGCTTGTTAGGAAAGTCGATGAAATTTATTTACCCATTTACGACCGCTCTTAATTGTACCAATTCAAGTTCTTTTCTTTATTTCCTAATTCGTCTAGGACGATTAAATTAGGAAGTAAATTATTAATGTCCTGCAACGAAAAATTTAACAAGGGTTAAACAGTTATTAATTGTTTGATAATCAGTCTTTCTTTAGATACCAAAAGTGCAAAGAATCGAGAGAAAATATTATGTTTTGCAGTTCTTTTCAAGCGAGTTTACGTTTGTTCCTTTTGTGATTTTCGATATTCTTCGTAAAACGTATATAAGAGTAAGATTCTTATGAGTTTTCCTTCAGCATCTCGACACGAGAAATCCGCGAGTCAATCATACTTAGACAGATTTACCTAAGATAGGTATTTTTAAGCGCTATTTATTTAATCTACTACACGTAATGATCTTTTTTTTTTTCGTTTTTGCATTGTGACTCCTTTAGAGAGATTTGACAAAGTCGCGACTGACTATTGTTTGTAAAAAAAAATTCAGCAACGTCGAGTGATGGCAATCTTCGAGTTAACGAATTGATCGATATGTAGATGTAATGTAGGATATATGCGATCTCCTGCCAAGAATCAAGCACATTATTTTAGTATACATTTGTACGTTGCTGTTTCTTTTTTCTTTTTTCTTCCTTAAGGGAAATTATTTTTTTTCTTCCTTCTATTGTCTTCGAGCGTTAGAAAAAAAATGTGTTCAAGTGTGTGTTCAGACTGTAATTGCATTATACACGCCACAAAATAGAATTCTCGTAATAGTTTTGTACGACAGATACTCAAATGGCACGGATATCCTTTTTCTGACTGCGTCGCCGCGCGAAGCGTTATTATACTCTCTAAAGGAAACGTACATAGGTAAATATTGGACGAAGACACTGCCAAACATCTCTAAGTTATAATTTAATAAACAACGTTAGACAATACTGCGCTATGATACGTTAATTTCTTAATTAAAACGAACGTTCTTGCGTTTTGTTTTTCTTTCGTTCTTCCGTTTTCTTCTTCGTTTTCATCGTCATAAAAGCGAAGAACTTGGAAACGAGGTGAACTTAAGTACAACTTAAATCGTTTTCATACATTTAGCAATTCATTTTTCTTCATTCTTTTCGCTTGCGCTATTATATAAAAGAAATGTATAAGAAGAAAAAGTTGCGTTTGTGCATTTTTTTTGCACGAACGATCGAACTCGCGATCGGACTGTACGAAAGACCAACGATCCATTTTCTTTTCTTTCCTCTCGATCAGCGTCATCGAAGCTTCTTGATCGTTTCTCATTCTTTCACATATACGTTTAAGTAGGTTATATAGAAAGAGCGATTTAGGATCGACGCTTGTATCAGTGAACGACGTATTACCTAAGTTAATCACTTAAACGAGCGTTGCACCGTCGCATTGTATTGTTAAACGATTTTTCCTCCCTTTCCCTTTTTTTTTTTTTTTTTTTTTTTTTGTTATGTTCTCGCGGTCTATTTTGTAAGTTCTATGGAAGTGACTGTTTTTCGCGCCTTAGCGATTCGTTCCGTTGAGCCTTCCACTCGTGCTAAAGTCCAATCGAATTGACGAACACGAAGCAAAGAATTTTAGAGAAAAAAAAACATGCGAGAGTACTTTTGAGACAATATTGTACCATCGTTTAGGTATTTCGTTTGACATATGTAAAAATTTGCAAATAGAAATAACCTCCTAAGTCTTCGTCTGAGCAATAAAATCCGTATTTACAGGATCGTCGAATTTTTCCCCCAAAAAATTATATTTACAAACGAAGATTGTACGTTTAGTTTTGTATCGATGCAAGAGTTCGAGTAAAACTGTTACTCAAATGTGTGTACAATTGATAGCGTCGCTATTGTTCAATTTTTATCAAAATAATAACCTATACGTTCGTTTCACGAATTGTTCGATTTGATCCAGAATGTGCAGCACGAGTGAGCTCAAAGGTAAAATGAAATAACAGAAACGAAAATCCTAAAGAACTCCTGCGAACAAAAGTCCGCTTAGAAACAATCATCTACTGTACAAAGTCAGCGTAGCCGCTTCGAGACGAAGTGAAGAATCGAGTGTTCGAGCGTTTACACGAGCTCAAGCTCTTACATAAGCGAGATATAATACGAGGAAACGCGTTCGATTTAGTCGATCGATATTTGCGTGAGCACTATTCGGCAGAATAGCTCGACTTCGCGTTTCCCCCAATGAAACAACAGAACAGAACGAAGATGTACTGCCAGTATCGTATGTAAATAATTCCTCTTTCCTTTCAGATACAACTGCCTCCTGCCTGTCCCTTCTCCCCACCTCTCCACCCATTTCCCGTCGCCCTTCTCCCTTATTCCCGTTTTTTAACGCAGATATTCCAGGAATACGCGAAGAATACGCATAGCTCTAATGTACGTTGCGTAAACGTTTGTACACGAATATAGGCGGAAAAATACGTCGAGGAGGAGCGTTTCTTCTCGGCTGAATTCCGATGAATGCATCTGGCGTGCCGTCAATCTCCGTGTGCGTGATTTCGTTAGATACTGTATTTTCCAGCGCGAGGAAACAGATTCGATTGGGGTTACCAAGTAGGTGGTCATAGCGGCTCATGCCAATTTTACAAATATTTCTTTTTGATAGTTTCATTTTAATAAAATGAAAATCTCAGGTTTCCTTTTTTTTTCTTCTTTTTTGTAATTTTCGTCGAAATATTTGATGCTGAACGTTTATTACGTAGAATGTTGCGACTAGTGCAACGACAATTTGCAGTCATTCCATATGTTGAGATATAATGAATTTTATACAAGAAATTTATACAAATTCGTTGCGAAATTTCTAGGAATTAAAATTGATCTACAATTGCATTTTTGTAAACATTTACTCTGCATGCTGGCCTTTTTGCCTCATACTCTTTCATTCCACCGATAGATTCTTGTCTATGATTTGAATGTTGCACCTATGGCTACCCATTTAGTAAAGGCAATACATACAATGTTTTTTTCGGCACACAGTGAAGTTCAGTGAACGTGTTCTTTTTTTTTTTCTCTCTCCTTTGTTTCGATTCTGTGTACAGAATGTATATCGACAACCAGTTGTGTAGTAATTATCCGCTTTCTTGTCGATATTTTTCTCTTCGATAGAATCGAAATGTTCGAGTGCTGGTTGCCTGAATAATCTGTCTTCGTCGATAGGTCGAATCGAAATGAGAACAAATGGCGGTTTTCCTCGTGAAACGGTTACGGATTCTGTTGCGTCTTTCACGATGGAAAGTATAAAATGCAAGAAAATGTGATCAAA